AACTGGATGGGGCAGTAGGAGACAGGAGGTCAGGTTATTAAACCTCATGGAATAGATTCAGTGTAGACTTGCCAACATGACCTGAGATGCACCCTTAGTTTGTACAACATGGGCTTGAAGAAGATCAATCTTTTTCTTAGAGATAGTAAGAACTGCCAATACTGGAGTCTGAAATAACAGTGTGGAGCTGGAGCTGCACAGCAGGCCAGGGACCATCAGAGGCACACGAAAGCTGACGTTTCGGGTCGGGACCCTTTTTCTGAAGAAGGGTCCCGACCCAAAACTTCAGCTTTCCTGTTCCTCTGATGTTGCCCAATCTTTTTCTTTGGCATCTTGTCAGGTTCAAGGATGGCTTGCTTCCATAACAGTTCTGTGGGTTCAGAGATGGCTGAAAGGTCCACTGTTAGATCTACAGACTGTCACAGGTGGAGCCGATAGTGCATAGAGAGTTGGGTAGATGAATTGTTTGGAGGTTTGTGCACTCTGTCTGATGGCTTGACTTTGACTTTGCCTCTGTGTTCCTACGAGTAAGTGTCGTGATGTGTTTGTTATCTTCTCAAATGAACTTTGTCCAATTTGGTTATTCACAAACCAGAGAATCGCATGAGCTGGCAGGGATGTTGGACCTCTTCAGGGATGCTTTCAGTTACTGCATATTGGGTGTCCACATATGGAGCTCCAGTACAACTACTTTTACTGATTCAGAGAATGTGGGCTTCACTTATTGAACTGGCATTGCTTCTATCTTTAATTGTTCTTGACAAGTTGGTGGTACCTTCTTGAACTTCTGCAGCCCATGTGAGGGTAGGGACACCCACAGTACAGTTAGGGAGGGAGTTCCAGGAATTTGAACCAATGACAGTGAAGGAATGGCAATATCTGTTGTGTGGCTTGGAGAGGAATTTGCGGGTGATGGTATTCCCATGTATCCACTGCCCCTATCCTTCCAGATGATTATGGTCATAGGTTTGGAAGATGCTGTCTAAGGGTCCTTGGTGAATTTCTGCAGTGCGTCTTGTAGATGGTATGTACTACTGCGACTGTGAGTTGGTGGTGAAGGGAGCAAATGATTATGGATTTTGTGCTGATCAACCAGGCTGCTGATTGGGTATTTTTGGAGCTGGACTAATCCAGTCAAATGGAGAATATTCAGGCTGCTACGTGACTTGTGTCTTAAAGATGATGGACAGGCTTCGGGGAATCAGAAGGTGATTTACTCACGGCAAGATTCCTAGCCTGTGTCGTACATACGTAGTGACAGTTTCATATGGTCAGGTCAGTTCAATTTCTGGTCAATGGTAACCCTTCGGATATTGACAGTGGTGGATGCAGTATTGGTAATGTCGTTGAATGTCAAAGGATGATGGTTAGATTTTCTCTTGTTGGAGATGGTCATTAATTGACAATTGTGTGGTGTGAATATTAATTGACACTTGTCAGCACAAAACTGGGCATTGTCCAGCTCTTGGTGGATTTAGACATGAACTACTTCAGTATCTGAGTCGCCGCAAATGGTATTGAACATTGTGCAGTTATCAGGGAGTTATCCACTTCTTACCTTACGATGGTGGGGACGATTATTGAAGCAGCTGAAAATGATTGGGCCTATGACACTACCCTGAGGAGCTGGGATGACTGACCTCCAACAACTACTACCATCTTTCTATGTGCCAGGTGTGAGCACATCCAGCAGAAAGTTTGCCCCCCGATTCTCATTGATTCTAGTTTTGCTAGAGCTTGTTGGTGTCACACTTAGTAACATGCAGCCTGCATTTTTGTGCACATGAGCAAATTTCTACATTGTTGGGTAGATGCAAGTGTTATAGCTGCACTGGAACAGCATGGCAGCAAGTTCTGAAGCACAAGTCTTCAGTATTGTCGCCAGATTGTTGTCAGGGCCCATAGCCTTTTCAGCATTCAGTGCCTCCAACTATTTCTTGATATCACATGGTGCAAATTGATTTGTTTGAAGACTGTTATCTGTGATGGAGGAGGCTGAGATGAATCATCCACGAGTGAATATTTTAAAAAAAATTAAGACTGAAGATTATTGCAAATGCTTTAGCCTTGTCTCGCGCACAATGTGCGAGGCTCTCCCATCACTGAAACGCAGACATTTGTAGAGCATCCTCCAGTGATTGTTTAATTGTCTACCAGCATTTATGACTGGATGTGGCAGACTGCGGAGTTAGATCTGATTTGTTGGTTGTGGTTATTTGGCTTTGCCTATCACTTGCTGCATACACTGTTTGGCTCATGAGAGTTCCTTGCTGAAGCTTCAGGTAATTTCCTCATTTCGGTATGCCTGGTGCTGTTCGTGACAAGCCCTTCTTTTATTCTTCCTTGAATCAGAGTTGATCTCCTGGTATGATGTTAACGAGTGGGGGGGCGTGCTGTGCCATGATGTTGCAGATTTTGTTTGAATATGCAAATTGACTACAGTGCCTCAGACATGCTTTGTCTTGTGTTGCTAGATTGGTTTGACGTGTATCCTGCAGTGGTAGTGTCAAACAGGATACCCTCAATATAAATAGGGGACTTTATCCCTTCAAGGACTGAGCGGAGGACACTCATATCCTGACTGTTAAGTAGATTGTTCAGGACAAAGACAAGTGTGTTTTTCCCGCTTGTTGGTGCCCTCACCATCTGCCGCAGATCCAGTCATGTAGCTGTGGACTAGACCAGCTCAGTCAGTAGTGGTGCTGCTGAGCCACTTTTGGTGGTAGATCTTGAAGTCCCCCCACCCAGAATACATTCTGTTCCCTTGCTTTAGCCAGTGCTTCTTCCAAGTGATGCTTAATATGGAGGAGCATTGATTCATCAGCTGACTTGGGGAGCAAGTCTTTTGAAGGAGGTAACTTTCCTTTGTTTGACACAATGCCATGAAACCCTTTAGGTCTGGATTTAAATGTTGAGAACTCCTAGGGCCACGCAGTCCTGACTGTACCACTATGCTGCCATCTCTAGTGGGTCTGCCCTGCTGGTGGGACAGGACATAGCCAGTGATCATGATCGTGGATGTCTGTAAGGTACGATTTTGGAATGTTTCAGGTTGTTGTTTGATAGTTGATGAGACAGCACCCACAATTTTGGCCCAAGCCCTGAGTGGTTGGTAAGGAGGCCTGGCCGACAAGGCTGAGTTCGCCACTATTGTTGCCAGCGTGTTGATTAATACTAAAGCTAGGCATTAAACTGTATTGCTAGGCTGCTTCAGACGATAGTTAAGAGTTAACCACGTTGGTTTGTGGTTGGATTCATGTGTAGGCCAAACCATGTGGCCAGGGGCATCTAGATAGCATTTGTGAGCCAGATGGGATTTTTACGATAATTGATATGGCTATCATCAGACTTTTCATTCCAAGATTTTCACATTCCACCATCTGCCACAGATGGGATTCAAACCAAATCTCCAACGGCAATTAGTTAGGTTCCTAGTCCAGTGACAATAATGCACTGCCTTTGCTTTCTCCTCATACTGAACATACTTTTAATCCACACCAGTTCTGAACATAAATCCCAACTGGGAATTTGAAGTACCTTGGAAGCCTAGAATAGGTTAAAATAGCATTTCCATGGAAAATATCCATGAACTATTTCTGTTGTTCCCCTGGGAGTCTCCTAGCATGAACAAGCTCCTAGTGGAGCAGTTGATTCTGGAGTCCGTGTCAACTACGTGAACTGAAGTTGTTTTTAAATGATCGGCACATTGATACTGATCAGATTGACCTCTGAGAGAATACTGCTGCTGGATCTCTGTTCCTGCCACTGGATTAGGAGGATCTTACAAAGGTACCACGAGTAATACTTCACCAATGCTTTGAAGTGTTTGCCGTACCTTGTCCCTTTCTCTGAAGCATATAGGAATGTGGGGATTGCTGCTGTCTGGTAAACTGTACCCTTAGTTTTGGGTAATAGTAGGAATATCTTCGCTGGATGTCAGGATTTCAATGCATGTGTGAAGTGTCAACACTTCACATGAAACTGTGGCTGTTATGCATGGGTACTGGCACTTGCCCAGTATCAACTACTGTGGTTGGATTGTGTGAGTGAATTGCATCTTGCAATTATACAGCCTTTAACATAAAAGTCCCAGGGTACATCACAGAGGCGTTATAATACAAAATGTGATGGCGAGTAGCATGAGATGTTAGAATAGCTATTCAGGGTTTGCTTATGGCTTTAAGAAGTGCCTTTATGGAAGAAAACATGGAGAATTTTAGGAGGAAATTTCAGAGGGCCCAAGCAGCCCAGATAGTGTCACTAATAGATGAATGATTAAAATCAGGGATGCTCTGGACGCCAGAATTAAACGAGTTCAAATAAGACAGATGGTTTTAGGGTTAGAAGACTTTAGAGATAAGGAGGGGTGAGGCCATGGAGGGATTTGAAAATAAAGTTGAGAATTTTATAATTGAGGTGAGCTCAACCTTGAGCTAGTGTGGGGGTGATTGGCAAGGGACATTTGGTGTCAGTTAGAACATGGGCAGGAGAGATTTCAATGACCTTGAGTTGATTGAGGTTAGAACAGCTGACCAGGGGTGTGTTAGAATAGTCAGCTCTGTAGACAGCACAGGTTTAGAGAAGGGCTTAGGCCTTGAAAAGGTCTCTGCAGAAGGAGAATCCTTCATCTGTCCAGATCTGATTTGGGGTTTAGAGATGAAAGACCATCATCTGTTCCGTTAAGTCACTCAACTACATTGCAAGCTAAAACCAGAATTCAGCTAATCTTTCTAAAAATATATATGATGTTTCCTGAAATTCCTGATGAGAAAATATCCTAATTTCCCTCATTTATTCAGTTATCAGCTATTACAGTGAGCTACTAAAATTAGGGTCTCTGGGAAGATTATGGGCCCACAACTTACCTAGTTTGGAAATGTGAAATTTGATTTGATGATTATGTTCTCTTACCATCTATATTTTTTTTGTTCCATGTGCATGAAGGAATTGAGTGAATGATGGAGTGGTTTTGATTCTGGTAAATGCTTCATTTCCTGCAGGAGAGTCAGGCCATCCCCTTAGTATCGCTGTCCAGCATCGCCCCATCCAGCCCCGGAAAAATGGTCAAGCGGCAACATAGCGTCTTAGGGGTGGATGAAGATCATTTTGAGAAAGTGAGCAGAGGTGGTGATGTTCCAACATACGGTTTGGAAACAGGTACAAGCAAGTCCTGCCTAATTTAAATGCGGAGATTTGAAATACATTGTGAGCAATGTTCTTCTGACAGTATGAAATACAATTTTATATGGAAAGGTCTCTCAAAAGAATTTGATTTTGGGAGTGGGGAAAAAATTTACCAAAATTGTCTTGAAGTTAGATATTCCACAATATGGTTAAATTAGGGTGGTTTGTTTTTTTTTAATAGTCTCCAGTAGGTATGCTAGCCATTTGTCAGAAGCTTACAATAGATCTTATGAAAAAATATATATCACTCGATATCTGCTCATGTTCCAGAATTACTGACCTGAGCAATAGGGTCTTTATTGGGATCATGCTGCTTCACATAAACCAAATTACAAAATAATCATTAGAAAAATATAATGAGTGTTAATGTTTTTCAAGTTGTTCCACATAAAGCAAGTACAGGACCAAGCATGATAGCCACATAACATTGTTGGTGCAATGTTGGCGAATTTGATATCCAATCTTCAGATCAGATTTAAGTTTGGGAAAGAGTGTGATCCACAAAATCTGAAAGTGGCAATTATGTACACATTAACTGTTCAACAGTTGGTAAGTATTTTACAGATTACTATGTCTTGAATGTGGAATCTAAGGGGAAATGCACTGAAAATAAAGGACAATTAATGGTTGTCACAAAGCTTGGGATAAAGCTAAAATTGGTACTTTGCTTTCTATTTTATTCATAAACAACACTGAGAAACTGAAAGATGAATTTGTATTGTCGAAGATGATTAATTGTGTAGCTTGGAGGAAGGTAATGTCCAGTGATTCAGCACTTGCTGCTTTTGGAGATGAGTGAATGTGATCATGAAGGCGTTGTAGCAAAATCTGTGGATATAGTATATATGAATTTACAAAAGGTATTCAATAATGTGCCACATCAAAGGTTATTACACAAGATGAGCATCCATTGTGTTGGAGGTAAAATGTTGGTTTAGATAGTTAATTACTAATATTTTCAGGTTGGCAAATTGTAAAAAGCTGTGAAATGGATTAGTGTTGGGTTCTCAACTATTTACAATCTTTGCCAATGATTTGGAAGAAGGAAGAAAGCATATTTTGTTATGTATTCTTTCAGGGGATGCAGATGTCACTGGCAAGGTAGGCATTTCCTGCACATCCCTTGAATTGAGTGGATTGCTGAGCCTTTTCAGAAGCAGTTAATATTGAACTTCAGATTGTGGATCTAAAATTGCACACATGCCTGACCAGGTGAGGATAGAAATCCACCTCCTGTAAAGAACATGAATGAACCAGGTGGGTTTTTACAAAAATCATGATAGTTCTCATGGTTACATTACCTAAACCAATTGTATATTCCAGTTTTATTCATTGAATTTAAATTCCACCAGCTGCCATAGTGGGATCTGAGCCTGTGTCTCCACTGAATTAGCCTGGATGTCTAGACTGCCCATGCAGGGACAATACCACTGCACCACCATCTTCTCAGGTGGCTCACCATCTGCTGCTGTAGGATATCGGAGCGAGATTTGTTGGCAATGCAAGGATAGACGGGGAAAGCAAGTTGTAAGAAGGACGTGAGGAGCCTGCAAACGAATGCTGATGGGTGAAGTGAACCCAAGCTTGGCAGATTGATTATAATGTTGGAAAATATGATTTTATCTGCTTTGGCAAGAAAATTAAACAAGATTATTATTGAAATGGAGAGTGACTGCAGATGCTGTAATACAGATGATTTGTCAAAAAGTCAGCATGGAAATTCAGTAAATAATTCAGAAAGCATTTGTTGTACAGTTTGCAGTTTGCCTACCACAGTCATGAACTTCATCCCCCCCCCCCCCCCGCCCCAAAGCACACGCACACACTCTCTCTCTCTCTGCAGGAAATGTGGTCTCCGTGTTTATTCCCATATCCACATTTCCATTTCTTTCATCACTTTAAGGCCACAATGAGTGAAATGTTTTTCATTGTCATTTCTTTCTGTAGCTCTGATGCAGTTGCCTTTGTTTTTTTTAATCTTTTAATCCATAATTTCTATTGCTGTCAGAATCAAGACCACCATTCCCTTAAAATCAGATTTAAATTTAATAATTGTTGAAGGTTTCATTAAATAGAATCTAGTGCACATTTCCCCATATAGTAGATCCTGAAAATACACAGCTTTTAAACTAGAGATTCCACATTTGTTTACAAGGAATTAATTAGTTTTCCCAGTTAGCTGGGTGTTCCTTTGTAGGCAGGTTTAAAACTTTTCAGCTTCTTTCTCCCCACCCTTCAGCCTTCATCTCTCTCCCCTGAACCCCTGATGTCTCCCCCTCTTCCTCCCTTGCAGCCTTTCTCCCCCACGCCATGCCATCTTGCGGCTTTGCCCTCTCTACCAGCCCACCATCCCATAATACTCCACTCCTGCCCATCCACATGCAGCCTCACTGTTCCCATTATGATCTTCCAGCCAAAATCCTCAGCTTTTGCCTCTGGGGGCCCCTGAATTCTCCACAGATGTCGTCTTTGCCTTGGCACACAAATTCTCACGTGTGCTGTCTCTCTCCTTCTCTCCTCTCTCCTTCTCTCCTCTCTCCTTCTCTCCT